CCTTTAGGTTGGAGCGCGTAAGTTGTTCGGGCGATGAGCAATCACACCAATAACTAAGATTCATAAACATATGCACAGGAAAGTTTGTTAATAGCCCATGGTACAAAGTGACTAGTTACAGCTTTTCGCAAGGAAGGAAGGGATCATCAGGTTTCAACAAATGCCACCAAACGACTAGGGTAGTATGTATACCTTGGGGCCTCTCTAGTACACATTACTGCAACATCAAGCCTAGGCCCGTGCTAGGCCGATGATAATCAGACTAGTTTCCTAAAACAGCAGATAGTACCGAATAATTTGCTTTGACTTAGGCATGTAATACGTATGCACGATAACGGCTACCGTCGCGATGAGACTGGACTTTAAGGTGGTACGATGGTTTGTGTGCCTCCGTGATCCATTGAGCTATGCTGCGTGGTGCTTTCTGCACCATTAGAGTCACTCATACTAGATTGTCCAATGGTTAGAAGCCAGACAAACTCAGTCTCCTGGCTCTCCAGGTTGGGGGTTGGAGTGAAGATGGCTCCTTACTCCATAAAACGAACTCCCTGTAGCCCAGTACCAAAACCCCGATGCCTTGCCGCCAGGCTTTTAACCAATCGCTTTGGTTGAGAACTCTAATCGTTCTTCTATCTAGGCCTGGGCAACTTGACAGTATCCCGATCACGTAATACACCAAGACATTTCTTTCTAACGATCTCTCGTTGCTCTGGCCGTCGCAAAGGATAATAACTGGCGCCAAATAAGCAGCATCGAGCTGAGTGGATAGAGGTTTGGATGCTACTGCTCAAGCCTTCCCGCCTTCTTACTCTTGTTGTCGCGCTTTTTCATCCTTATATTCCCTTCTCTTCCCTTTCATCCTCCCCGTTTTCAATTCCCCAATTATTGGCCCTCCCTCACCTTGCTTGAAAACTCGCTTCAACACACACAAAGCCGCAGGGCGTCGCTCCAATCCAGTCAACAAGTCCATATTCAACCACGCGGACAGCGTCAGTTTATCTGTTTCCCTTTGAAGTCCTTGATCCTCGCTAACACTGGCATGTCTCAACGTGCATACTTTGCTACCGATTGGCCAACAGGCAGCACTTGCTCGCACACTGGAGATCCTATCGATCGGTATTTGCGGTTGATCAGAAACCCACCTGCACTATTCGAGCTCCGTGATTACTCTGCGATCCCTTGCATGCGACACTTGCTACACATTCTCATTGCACCTGTTTGGCGATGATGCAGCTTTAAATGCCGGTCAAGCTGACGTCGGCATTGTTTTGAGTCCCCGGGCTGTAGCTGCCCTGATCGACTGGATCGCTGTCAACAGCCGAATGTGCGCCGTTAGGTTGGCTGGCTCGTTACAGGTTTCCAAGTTGCGCGGGAACAAACGGTGCCCATTTGTCATTGCGGCCTACCCACCCCACCCACAAACTGCAGCCCTGATTCGGTGAAAAATGATTGCTATCATCAACTTAACGATCTTTCTCGATACAGACGAAGCACGGATACTGTGGTACTTGCTGGTGATCTAAACGCGCAAGTCGTAAACTTGTCCTCTGATGAGCTTCATCTGGGTGGCAAACATGGTGTAAGTTCCCGTAATGATAACGGTGAGTGGTTGTTACAACTGTGTGAAGGTGCTCGTGTTTCTCTCGCAAGCTTTAACTTTGGCATAGCACCCACAGAAGAGTGACTTGACGCTCACCAGCTTCCGGCCAGGCATGGATGCAAATCGATTACATCGCGATAAGTTACGGCTGGAGAGGCTCTGTCCAAAACTGTCGCTCGATTTGGAATACCAGCGTGGACTCCGATCACGCTCTCTTGTGTGTCTACCTTCGGGTGCATTTCGGCGGATGTCTGCAACGTCGCTCCGAGGTCATTGACACCAGTCAGCTGGCGTATCGTGCTACGCTAACATCTGGGCTGTGTAAAAGTCCACGAAACACCGTCAAAGATGACTGGTCACATATTCCTCAAACGTTACTATCATCAGGCATGTCTTCATGTGGCAAATAAAATTTCCAACCTAGACGTTGGGTCTCTACAAAGTCTCTGAAACTTAGGGATACTCGCTGACGTATTCCGGCTGGAAGTTAATACAAAGAGAAGCGCAAAAATCTTAAGACAAAAGTGCGTGATAGCCTGAAGAGGGACCACAGAACCTGATGGTCTCATCGTGCCTTGGAGAGGGAAACCGCCGCTGCCGTTGGTAATGCTTTTAAGATATTCCATATGATACGGGAAACAGGCAGCTGGAGACCTGGCGTGAGTGAGACAATACGCGACGGGAGTGAACTGCCGATCCACAGCTCGTGAAAAGGCTTGGATCTTTAGGCCGAACACTTTGCAAGACAGTTTAAACAGTCTGAGTTATCGCTTTCTCTCTTGGGCATTGATTGCCCTTCCCCATGGTCCGTCACCTTGGATCCGCCCTCACGCGCAGAAGTCAAAGGCGAGATCAGAAGGTTGAAATTGCATAAGGTCACTTTTGCAGATGGAATTCCCTCAGCTCTCTACAACTTCGGGGGACCTGCTCTTGTAGATGATTTACACGAGTTGCTAATGGAACTTTGGGAGCAGGAAACTGTCCCCACAGACTGGAGCCACTCCGTCATTGTCACAAGTTACAGGGGAGACTCCTTTCTGAATGCGGCAATCATAGAAGGATCCGTCTGATCAGAATTGGTTCTAAATTACTTGCATCTATTGTTCTCCACAGGCTGACTGGCGCTCGTGAAGGTCAGGTTCGTGAACAGCAAGGCTGACTTCATCGAGGTCAGGGCTGCATCGACCACATGTTCACTTTGTGTCAATTGTTGAAACACCACCATGTTTAGTGGCGACTCACCGTTGTCATGCTTCTCGACATCAAATGTGCCTTCGATTCGATTGATTGGTGTGCCCTTTGGGAATGTCTGCTGAGAAAAGATGTGCCTGATAAATATGCAAACATTATTGACACGTTGTACGCTAATAGTTCGGACAGAGTAAGGTTTTAGGGCAAACTGTCGTCGCCCTTCAATATCTCCAAGGGTGTGAGACAAGGTTGCCCGCTGTCACCTCCCCTATGTAAGTTCGCTATTAATGAAGTCATGGAGACAGCGTTCGCTGGACATGATCTAGAAAGTGTTGAGCTATGTCCTGGTGAACGACCTTTTAACTTAGAGTATGCGGACGACAATGCTCTCATATGTGACAACGCCCTAACGTGCCAGGCTGTACTGGACCGATTAGCACTGGCTGTCTATCGTTTTGGGCTATTCTTTGCTCCATCTAAATGCAAAGTACTTCTCCAAGATTGGCAGGGACCCAACCATGCACTGACCCTTAGTGGTGATCAGCTAGAAGTCGTTCAGGTATTCAAGTACCTGTGCAGCTATATTTGCTCCCGTGGGATCGAAGAGGAGGTTGCCAACCGTATAGCAAAAGCTCGATGTGCTTTTGCCAATCTCCGCCACCTGTGGCGCAGACGTGACATCACTCTTGTCCCGAAGGCATAGTTTATAATACAGCCGTTCGTTCACCTCTCTTATATGCTTGTGAAACCTGGTCCATCAGGTCGACAGACCTAAAGAGTCTAGCCACTTTTGATCACCACTGCCTTCACAGTTTAGCTCATATCCATTGGGAGCACCGCGTGATCAATGAGCGTGTTCGGGGTAGCGTATTTTGAACAAGAAGGGCGAGTGAACCGCTCAGCATCATTATAACACATACTAGGCTCCGAAGACTGGACCACGTGTTGCGCACACCAGCACACCGGCTCCAGCGACCTACATTCTTTGTGCGCCTGGGTTGCGGTTGGAAGAGGAGGAGGGGAGGCCAAGCGATGACTTGGTCGAGAGAGATGAAAACCCTCACTTCGAAGTTGGCGTCAGTTGGTGCATCCCGACTGGCTGGCTGGGGTCCTAAGGAAGATTAACACGTTTGGTTGGACACAGTTGCTGATATGGCTTGGAGACGGCCTCAATGGCATTTGTGTTGTGAGTTCCTTTGTCCACCCCTCCTACTTAGCCTCCCCTCCAATCACGATCTCCTTCGTCAGGCATAATATGACTTTGAGGCGCGATTGTCAGAGAGATGTCCATCCGTTACTGGGGACTCAGCTGGCGTTCCACAGTGATTTTCTCTTCGTCTTGTCTTTAATATTGCTGCACAATAGCTGAGGTGTTTTCCACCTTTAGCTAACGTGTATTATGTTAAGGATGAATGGTGATCGACTACCGAGAATGACCTGGTTTTGTTTGTCTGATTTAGGACGATACAAGGTTAGATGTGGGCAACATTTTAACTATGCACTAGAAAATGGACTCACTGAATGAAAAACTGGGTGATTTTGTCTGTCCTGCCTTCCAGGCTGGAGTCCACGCCACCAGCATTGGGCTTGTTTGGTGGGGTTAAAGCACATGTTTCGCAGTCGGCACCAGTGACGCGTCTACTGCCAGTTTAACATGTCTGAGTTATCTGCATGATAATGGCTGATTACGACGTGGAGTAGTGAAAACCACAGAGAAGCAGGCTCACGGATGCCGCCTTTACTGTGTATATTGGCTAGCTAATTGAAACTGTAGGTTGTTGATAAGGTGTAGGCACCTTGACCCTGAAAGCTTGTTTAAGGTTGTTAGGTTTTACTCTAATTCCTCCTTTATTTCCGCCTATTATTTTTCTTCCCTTTGTACATCATTGTGGTTGCGCGACAGCGAGGCCTCGGTTCACACGGCTGTTGTACCACCGTTGATGATGGCTGTTGTAGTAACTATGCAGGAAGCCTAAGGTTGGGTGTTACGACTTAGAATGGGTTGTCGTGCAGCATATTCGTTCCTCCTCTAGTTATCAGTGGAGTGTCATAAATCACCATGTCTTCCGATTTTCTTTTGTCACATCTGAAGGTATCTGAATTCGGACACGACTTATTGTTATAGTCCATGGCTTTAATCTATCAGTGTTTTTGCTCATATCGGCATTCTTGTATCGACGCTCGTAATCCACATATGTGCTTGGCTTACCGCGTTTGCTGGGCGCTTTTGTCCAACGGAACCAGACAATCCAAGGCGTGTGCAGCGTAAATGGTCGCCTGTTGATCCAGAGTCCGGATTTCTGCGTATATCAGCGCCAGCACATGTTTCAACCTTTCAGCTAACCGTTCCCATTCATACAACTGACAGGGGGATCGTAAGTGCCAGGCGTCTTTCACCAGCGCGATGATCAGTTCCTGCGAAAGTGGGAAGGTTGTGTCGTCAGATGAGCTATGCGGACCATAGACAACGTGTCACCGGATTAGCAAACTGCAAACAAGTGGAGTGAAAATTTCACGTACAATTCACATGACAATGTATGGCCGCATATAGTAAAATTTCTTTGCCCATTCTTCGTAGTTAGTTAGAACATCTAAATCTTCACTAGTTCCGGAGGCGGACAAGATTTCTGCACTCACGACGGATGTGTGCAGCATACTGTCTTCGAGCACTAAGATAGCACGCTACTGATCGCCTTGATCACCATTGATTACGGTGGCTATTTGTCGAGTAGAAGATGTGAAAGCATAATCCCATGGTTTTGCAAACATGAAAGTATACCTTTTATATTTGAAGTGTACTATGAGGAATTTTGAGGCTGATGTCGAGAAAATTGGCTGGTTGTCACAAGACGTGGTCCCACCTAATGCCAAGGGCGAATTCTTGGGATTGTTTTGGTTTTCCTGAGTCCGTTGTACAACATTCTACTTAAAATTATTACCTTATACTTTAAGGCAGTTGTCGTGAAGGGCAAAACTGCATGTCGGATTCTTTTGTTTGAATAGAGCGCCGACGCTTGCTTGACGCCACCGCTGGTCGCCATCGCAAAATTGAGACGCCTATTGAGTTTCATCTTCTCCTATTACAGGCAACACACATCAACAATATCATTTTTAGAACTAGAACTACAAGTGCTCATTCATTGTACAAGTGAAAGGTTATCGATACATCTGCCTGTCTTCTGAAACCACAAGTTGGGCCCTCTCTGAACACTACATGGTAGATCAGGTTGTTGATAATTTAAACGATGGCCACAGCACAAATTAAAAGGCAAAATTGAGATTTAAGATCCGGTTTTGCTAACAAATTTGTCGCTATCATATGAAATGGGCCCTCGAAATGCGCTGTGTTGGAACTTCCAGGTGTCGATTATTTGAAACGATGCTTAGATGGAAGTTTGGATAATTAATAACACGTCGATTCACAATATCATTTCTGTTAAGCTGCAACAGTTGCTTGAACGCCGAATTGCGATAGTTTAGTAGTGGTGAACGGTGGACTATCCACCAATTTTCTGCTCAACTGCCTATGTTATGGACACTTTGATCGCTAGAATAGTCGGGACTACATAAAGGGGTATGAGAACAAACGCAGCTGCCTTTAATATTGATGCAAATGTGGCGTCAGTAATAAAGGGAAATCAAATCTGCGTACAGTGTCAAAAATGCCCGCCTATTCTCAACTGCCATTCAAACGAGGTGTCGTGACAAAGGAAGTCAAGCGAGGTGTAGCGACAGTAACTCGACGGAAATGTAGTGCTGCCAAACTGGTCACTTTTTGGACAACCAGGAAGTTACCAACACCGGTTAAGCTTACCCAACAGCTCTCCGTATTGCACATTGCATTTACAACTTCGTCTGCAGCTGCGGAAGTAGCTTCATCGGCAGAACAGATTTCTGTCTGCGTAAGAGGGTTGGCGAACACATTCCGAAGTGGGTTGATGGAACTACGAGGGGTTACACAGGAGGACAGGTGTTGAGTTTAAAAATGCCACCCTCATCGATTGCTAAGCACCTAGTAAGAACAGGTCACCAAGTTGATCCGCACCTGGCGTTTCCCATTAACTACTGCAAAATAAACGATGAAAATACTCAAACTTGATGAGGCCACAGCCGTTAATGGCAGCCGCCCTGACATTTGGGTGCAAAAACAGCTGACTGTCATACTCAAGCTTCCGTGGGGATCCTAGCACTTTTTTCACCACTAGTGATTTTGCAGGGATCTGTGACGGTATGTATCTACTTCTTCAAAATTCAAACTATTGCTTCCCTTCCATTATTGATCGTTTAAAAGGCTGCTTGTTTGCATGTGATCAGAGAATACGAAATGATATCTTCTTGTAACATCCGTCGTCTCCTTGCATTGTCTAGAAAGCTGGTATCATCAACCTCAAATCCATGTCTCGTATCTCATCTATTTTTCACGACGATTTAACTAGTTACTTTACGTAGGGATTTCGATTTCATCTTTCAATAGTTGAATAGTGTATGATGGGCTAAAAAGCATAAATTCACAAGACCCACAGAATGGAAAATACACAAGATAACGAAAACCATGTGTGTTCCCAGGTGGAACGTGAAATATCATTGCACTTCCTCATTCTTGTGTAGCGTTTAGCTCGAAGATGAAAGTCTAGTAGTCTCAAATGTCGCGATGTCTGGTACGTTCACTACGTGTGTTGGCAGTGCATTCAAGTGGGAACAGATTCTACGAGAAGAAAAAGACTTCGTACAATCCAAACGGGAGTGTTGCATCCCTAGTTTCAGGTGATGAATTCGACATTGTTTCTAAGAAGCTAGGGTCAGCAGTGATGTACATGGGTGCTCACTTTCAGTTAGTAGCCGGTAAGTGAGGACGAGATCCCGCGATTCCGTCGGTATTCTGAGGAGAACACACCGAGTAAACGAAGGCACAGTTCATCTGTAGACCGTAGGTCTACTTCATCCTCTGTTCACCCTAGTGTACTGGCGGTGGTAAGAAAACTCCACAACTCCCGCTGTTTGGTGAGTTTGCTCCACCCATTCCTATTCATTCCGTGCTCTTTTACAGTTCCCCACGTACGTTTGCTGTTACCTCACATTTGTGATTAGCGCGTATTGACACTGAATGTTGCGCCAACTGGATTCCTCTTACTCTGTGCATTTCGCTCGTACTTGAGGCACCCTATCGATCCTCCACCCATGAAATGACTAGCATTGATTGTAAAACACAGGGTTGCAAAGATATCACTTTTCGGTATTACTTATCGGACAAACGACTGATATATGCAATAGTAAACTAGCGAAGGCAAAAATGAGGACGAACAGGACGGTTTGAACAGATTTAGCACGTTAGTTCGAGGCTCAGATCGACCTAATCAGGTGATGTCGTGACAGGGATAACAGACTGCGAAACAACGTGTGTAAACAGAAGAGGTAAAACTACTAACAACATAAAACTGCTAATTGCATAAGTAAATAATACCCGGTTTTGCGTAATAATCCGGGGCACGACTTCTCATCTGGGCCATGGCAAAGTCAAGGGTTGCAGAAGCACTCTATGCTTGCATAGCTCTAATTTTGTTAGCCTGATCGCTATGGCTTCAGCCGTCTGCATGAGGCTTTTCCTTAACCCTTTCGGGTATCGCCTGGATACGTCATAATAGATCTTAAAGGATTCTATGGTCAAAATCTGCTCCCCACTTTAAAGCAAATGTTCCAAGATCGAACTGTTGATACATCTGAGCGCGCCTGTCCGCAGTGACCCTGGACAGTGCTCAGCCATCCTTACCGACAGACGCCTGGTCGTATACCCGACATACTTGGCACACAGGTGCAGGTAAATAGGTAAACAATGTACTATTCGGACGACACTGGCAGTCTGTCTTTAAGATGTTGAGCCATAAAGGGTGCAGTCTACGCAACTACGTGCGCGTGGGCGGTCGGGTACGTCCTTGTTAAGGCGTTAGGAAGTCCCCTGTTTAGGAGATGGAAGGCGATATCTCCCTTAAAAGAAACAGAAAGAAACAAATCCTTCTTCGAAATTTGCTACGGGCTTAAGACTCTCACGGGTGCTGGTATGCCTTTTGAGGAAAGATTCAGGTTGGCCATTCAAAAGAAGCGTTTTCACAATTCAGTCCTTCTCACCCTCGAGTGTTTCAGGACTACAAATTTTGGTGGCCTGGTAATACAAGCAACGCACTAACTTGCGTTTGCACTTCATGGGAACGAAGCTCGAAAAGTGTGTGTACTGGCCAACCCAGGTAGCTTTGCGGAAGACACTTAGCTCAAGTAAGGCATACTCGCGCCTCCTCAGCAAAACCTCCGGAAAAGACAGGTTACCTTCATTTTCAGTTTCACTAGTGAACTTCATTGAGGGATGTGCACTGTTGAACTGGTCAGACACACGGTTGACATCAGCAAGAGAATCACAGATGATGAAAGTGTCATCCACATACCTCCAATGCGAATCAAAAGAGGCAGAAACCGTTTGGATAACACCACGCTCAAGCTGTGGGAGAAAGATGTGGGCAAGGAGGGGTCCAAGGGGAGACCCCATCGCCACGCCATCGATTTGCCCATAATATATCCCGTCAAACAAGGATACCCTACTCGACGAGCTAAAGAGCATTTGTTCGACGCTGAGCAAAATGGCTATCCAGAAAGTTTCATCAAAGCAAATATGAACGAAGGAAGCACCAACAGTCTCGACGGTGGAAAGTAAGCCTATCTACTTACAGTTACCAGACAAAGGGGAAATCGCGGAGAAGGTTCTATCCCGCCGTCTTCCACACACCATCAGACGTGCCTTCCCAGCGGCGAAGATGCAGATGCAGTTCCCCAGCAGCCCAGCAGCCTCAAAGACAAGTTGCCTGTCCACGCAAACTCAATGTGTATTTACGCTTTCCCCTGTTCCTGTGGTCGCACGACAAGACGCTTATTCGACAGGAGCACCATCCGTCCTGGATCGGAAATGGAAGTCGCAAGATTACCAATTGCGACATCGCCACTCATCTTGCGGCCAGGCGTCATGCACCAAGTCAGCTGATTCCTTCAAAATTAGTTATCGAACCTCCGAAAAGCGATCAAAGTACGTCTGTAAGCGGATATTAGACGCCGCAGAAGCCGTTACACTGCAGTTGGACGAACTACAGTTGTGCACCCAGAAAAGGCTCACAGAGACATTAAACCTTCTTTGGCCTGGACGGACGTTGGCTGAACTGTGCAGGAGCGTTGAGTCCACAGCGATCATCTGACCGACGTTGCTTGCCGCTGGATGATAGCACCAATCGACTGAATGGCGACCCCTTTGGGTCCATGAACAACTTTCGATTGTTGTGCACTTGTATAAGGCTAATGATGAATTAGCGAAAACATCCATTCACTTATAACAACCTTTGATCAAAAAAATTGTCTATTAAAGGTTTACTGTAAATTTAGCTCCTTGTGCTTAGGCACTGGAATGCCACCGTTTAGGCCCTATTCCGTTATATGCTCGCAGATGAAATTAACCGTTTCTCTTAATCTAAGATTAGTTAAAAGTGATTCCAAATCAAAAGAAAGCATCAGTTTACTGTGTAAATTCCGGTCTTTAACTTTACCAACAAATTCTAACGAATCCTTCAGAGAATAGATGGATGGCGGCATCAGATTTCGGATTTGCCTGTCACTGTGGCAAA